TGTTTTAATTGTCTAAGCAGTTATTACAATGTTTAAGACACGATTTTTGGCAAAATTTGCTATAAATTCGACATTCAAAGGGCTAAAATAATTTCATATGTGAATCTATTTCAGAACGCAAAATCTTCAGTCTCTTAAGCAAATACTTGACAAAAAACAAAAACTTTCGGCTACTTAACATTATAATGCATCTGCTCCTGGTATTATTTACTCAAACAGCATTTGCTGCATTGTTGAGCATCAGTAAAATGTTTGTAAATTTTAAAATATTGAAAATCTCTAAAAAAAAATAATGGTATGGAAAAAATTCATATGAATAATTATTTCTTTTCTAGTATTGTATTCTTGATTTAGAATAGCAATGTATTTTTTATAATTTTACATATTATTAAATCCGCTTCAACATTTTTTATCATATTTCATTGTGATCTAGGAAGCTCAATTCGAGAGAAGAACATGATAATTTAAATATAGCAAATTTAGCTGGTTATAAAATATGAACTTATTAATTTGTTATAACAAAAAACAACAAGAAAAGAAGACGATGATATGTATTTCTAGTGATTAACTATTAAATTAGAATTAAATTCAATCTGTAGATAGTCTTCGTCTCTGGTAGACATTCCTAGTAATTGATTTGAATTACTAATTCATTTTCAATTAATTGAAAATATCATTTTTAAAATACAAACTATGACTAAAATATGCCTGAGTGTAAGTTCGTGCTATCTATTAACAATTGTTAAATGATTCCTGTACAAGTGAATATTGAAGCATTTAAAGGATTAAATTTATATCAGACCTTAATGCTCTAAGCTGTCTGCATGTAAAATTCGTCGAAATATGTATTTACATGTAAACCATTTGCTACCAAATATTTAAGCGCGTCGGTACTTTTAATCTTCCAGCATATTAGCTTCAAATCACTCAGAAACCGACTCGTGTTCCTTTCAATAGGAACATGAAACCCGTTAATAGTCCGAAAGTCCTAAGCAAATATAACTTTGTTTTTCGATAATCTTGTGCGTGTGGCATCGTGAGGCCACAAGATGTACGAATTCCTTTTCTGTTTCAAAATAAATAGGAAAGGATTTAACACGCTGTTGAGAATTAGTGAGCGGTTATTTCAGACTAAAACAGTCGGTGACTTGTAAAACAATACTGTAAGTTATGTTGCCCCCGCATTATTCCTGGTAAAATCACTTGTCCTGGTAACCAAGCTTATTTTAAGTGTGAATTTGTTTTAATTATACCTAGATTTATCAGTAATTATTTTCTATTACATAAGTTATTGATATTTTTTCAATTAAATAATTAATATTCATTACTTCTATGAAGAAATTACAAATTCTGATAACAATTTTGTTTCTATTCATGCTCGTTGCTTATAATGCATTTTTTTTAAACCGAATGATACGAGTAAAATATTTTTTATTTATTGGTATTTACAACTAATTAAATTCTGGACCATAAATTGTGGAGTTCCGAAATATGAAGTGATAAATAATTGTCGATCTATTTTAGTAATACTCAAAATAAGAATTGAGTTTCGTGCTTAATTTAGGATTTCGTTTCATAATAAAATGAAAAATTTTTAATAATTTTTATAATATTAATGAAATAAGTAATAATTAATTCTATTTCAAGTTGTTTTTTTTCTAATTTTAGTAAATAGTTTAGTTCATCAATACCAAAGGTTTAATCATGTGTTGAAACGGGATAAGAACTTCTGTAAATCGTTTATTGATTGCTTATTTTGCAGCCTCTTTTATAAATAATACTTTATCCATACTTTTTAAGAAAATCAAAACAATGGTTTAAATGTTATTGAACAACAGATTTAATCTATTTTATCTCAATATTTAAGAAATCGATTAAAAAATTATATACTTGTTTAAGTTAAGATCTGACTAAAGCAAATTATCTGATTTTTTGTTAGTATAATAATTCTCCTTTAGGTGATTTCGCAGCATTCAGCAGCATTTCGTTGAATTATAAGCTTTCATAAGTTTGGGGGAATATTATCGTTTAACTATTTAAACACTACTATTATTTGTATATGTTTGTTTGTAGTTTATTTCGTGATATTAAAAATAACGTCATATAATTTTGCAGAATATGTTCAAGTGTATGTTTTGCCAACAGTTTTATTGCTTTTTACATAATTTATCATGATCTTGCTTTTTCATATCATAGGATTGTAGAGTTGATTTAAAAGTTTCATAAGGACATTTGTCATCGCATGATGGAAGTTTCATAGGTCTCAGTTCCATTTTGTCATTGTTTCTATAGAGAACCTAAAATTTCAATTTGCAAAAAATTAATTTACATAATCTAGTATTGTTGCAATTATGCAATCGCTGAAATAAAAGCTACAACGAAATTGCAGTTATATAAAGTATTTTTTTTAAATAGTTCGAACTCACTTTCACACTCCATTGGTTGTTATCCTTGTGCAGTTCAATAACGTGGAGTGCTCCTTGGCCAGGATATAAACTAGACGGACCAAGGTCCTGATTTTCAATTTTTGTACCTTTGGGAGCAAAAGCTGAAACAAATGCTGCTAAGATAGCTTGAGGAACGGTCAGCACTGATAATTTATTTCCTGTTTTTCCAGGAGCACCCGGTTGTCCCTTTCCTTCTTTTATACTATCGATATCGTTCAATATATCGTTAATCATACGGCCTATATAATAAAAATCAAAATATGAATATAATGTAGATTAGTAATATAGAAATAAGTTCCAAATGTTAAGGATCGAAGATATAAAAATTATCAATAAAACAATTAATAGATGATGATTTCCACTATCACATACAGCAATTTTAAAATAATGTAAAATATTTTATCCGTGTAGGTCAAAAATTATAATTTTAGGACATTGGAAAAATAATATTGTCGATTCATTTAACTATATTTGAGACTTTGACTCGTAGAATTTTCATAATTAATGACTAATTTCATAATATTTATACTTTTTTAATAAAATATTTGCAATATCAGAAAGAAATATTTAAATATTTTCTAACTTTAAAAATGCTGAAAGTCTAAAATTTTGAGTGATTATTCTATCTTTGACTATTTCTTTGATTCATGATATATTTACCTCCTGACATCTTTCTAAGATTCTCATTAGAAGTTAGAGCCCTCCATAAATATTCTTCGGAAAAACTTTTCAGCTCGTTTTTCATACTTTCAAACCATTCTGGAGCTTGATTGAGCTATGCAATAATTAAATTAGTGAAATTTTTTGTTATTTTGAACTCAGAAATGTCATCTTCTAAAATACTATTTTATTTTAAAGTTGTCGAATTTATACCTTGCTTTGTAAATTTAAAGTTTCATATGCCAGCCAAACATTCTGAGGACCTTTCGTTGCATCTATTTTATACGCTTCTTTTAATTTTGCAAATAAATTTTTATAATTTGTTGCACCCTTTGTTAACAAGTCTTTTACTGCCATTTTCTGTTGTTCTATGAAGTTTGGACAAGATCTTGGACTATAGAATTTAGCATACTGTAACCAAATCGCATTACTTTTATACTGTAATCAGTCATACGAGAATAAATATTTTATATAAATGTTACTTACTTCACCAAATAAAGAAAATACGGTTTTCTCTCCTTTGTCTTGTGTCCATTCTGCCTCTTTCTAAATTATTTAATGAAAATAATAACAATATTTTCATACTGAATATAGAGAAAGTTTTTAATTTTTTGCAGTTTTGTTTGAAAGCTTAAACTATATATTCATCATTACTTGTTATACAACTATTATATCATAAATTTATCGAATATTATTCAATGATGATAGTTGGTTATTTATAATTCAGTCCTTAATAATCGAGCCGTTTCTACCTTCTGACAAACTCATAATTAAAATTTATGAGTATTTACAGTAATGAAGTGTTAATTTATTACAACAACTTTCTACAAATAATTTAATAATTTCACACTTTTTTTAATTTTAATTTATTAAAATATTAAAAATTCATTTTTTGAACATATGGTTTTATGAAAGAAAAGCAAATATTTTTTATTCAAAACTAGGTTTTCTATTATACGCTGCCTGTTTAATTTTAAATTTATCACTTTTACGCTTGGAATTAGTATTATATTCCATGTGACATTTTCCAAAACATCGATAATTATTACGTATTTCAAATTTTTGGATTACCTTTCCTTCTAGACCAGAACCAATAATAAGTGCTCCTTCTTGGGATCTTCTTGTAGTACTAGCTAATGTCCAATAATTTTTACTTGAATCCCATTCAGTAATTTTTAAATTTTGTTTTTAATGTTTAGATAATAATTTGCCAATTTCTGATGCCTCATTTTTACCTGCCTAAAATATTTATTTATTGATAGTAATTATTTAATTATCTAAATAATATATTACTTACCGTTGTCAACACGCTTGAAGTCTCAGGCTGGCCTGTAATATTTGGACCGCCTGGATAATCACAAGGTGTATGTGACATACCTCTTGCAGTCTATTGAATATTATATTAGCATTTTAAATTGATTCATAAAGTAGGTAACAATTATTAATTTTTAATAAATATTTGGCCATATTTACCGCAAACACAAATTTCAATTCTGCATTCACATTTTCAATTAAAATTGCACTTGAAACAACCAGCAATAAACGCCACATTTTAAATTGTAAAACAATTTGATATTAGAATAGAAATTCTTGTTTTATATAAACTTTGCATTCGTTTATATAGTTTTTTATTGTTGTTGTGAATAGTTTATTTATAACAACATATTTACAATAACAAACAAGATTGCTGAAATTTTAATTGCTTAAAAATTTGGAAATATTGCAGAAACTTGCTACCAAAAATATGTAGTTCTAATTTCAAAATTTTGGTCAAAATTATTTTTTGATAAATAACTTGTTATGTTTTTTTGTTCCTATTTCTTAACATTTTACGGTTATTTTACAAAACCCAGCAGTAATAAATAGATAAAAATAACATTAATTATTTTGAACTTTATTCTTCTTATCTGAAACAAAAATTAACTTTTATAAATATATTATGTATCTTATAATCTCTTGCAAATATTACGATTAGTATTTTCATAGTTAATTTTTAAATTTAATTTATTAATGATGAAATATTTTTTTTTTGTATTAAAATATTTAATATTAATAAAGTTTTATTAGGTAGTTTATTCATATTATTTTCAATTAATAGAAATGAATTTTTTACAAGATCATGCAGTTTTATTATTATTGCTAAAATTTGATATTAATTATATTAGGCCATCTAAGTTATTTAACTGTATTAAACAAAACAAATCTTGAAAAATATTATTTAAAAAATTGATTTTTAGAAAACTTTTGGGTTATTTCTTACACAAAATATTCTTTTAATTAAAAAATTTTTAATTCTTAACGAAAATTTTTAATTTCATTGACAAGAGTTAACAATTCTGTATTTATTCTGTTAAAATAATATTTATTAAAAGATTTAATTAAAACCTATCACTGAATTGATCATATTTATGATCACGTGCATTCGAAAACATGGAGTAACGAAAATGATACATGTTTTGCAATGACAAAAATTTATATCAAACTTGTAATTTAATACTTCTTGCTACCAAAAATATGTAGTTCTAATTTCAAAATTTTGGTCAAAATTATTTTTTGATAAATAACTTGTTATGTTTTTTTGTTCCTATTTCTTAACATTTTACGGTTATTTTACAAAACCCAGCAGTAATAAATAGATAAAAATAACATTAATTATTTTGAACTTTATTCTTCTTATCTGAAACAAAAATTAACTTTTATAAATATATTATGTATCTTATAATCTCTTGCAAATATTACGATTAGTATTTTCGTAGTTAATTTTTAAATTTAATTTATTAATGATGAAATATTTTCTTTTTGTATTAAAATATTTAATATTAATAAAATTTTATTAGGTAGTTTATTCATATTATTTTCAATTAATAGAAATGATTTTTTTACAAGATCATGCAGTTTTATTATTATTGCTAAAATTTGATATTATTTATATTAGGCCATCTAAGTTATTTAACTATATTAAACAAAACAAATCTTGAAAAATATTATTTAAAAAATTGATTTTTAGAAAACTTTTTGGGTTATTTCTTACACAAAATATTCTTTTAATTAAAAAATTTTTAATTCTTAACGAAAATTTTTAATTTCATTGACAAAAGTTAACAATTCTGTATTTATTCTGTAATATTTATTAAAAGATTTAATTAAAACCTATCACTGAATTGATCATATTTATGATCACGTGCATTCGAAAACATGGATTAACGAAAATGATACATGTTTTGCAATGACAAAAATTTATATCAAACCTGTAATTTAATACTCCTTATTATGCACGCAATCCTTTCAACAAAGTCAACAAATTATGTATTACCAATACACAATTTCATCAAATACCAATTGCTATTTGAAAAAAAAATATATTCAGAGACATGCATATTTCTTTATTCTATTCACCCTTAGGCAAAATGCTTAAATAACTTTGTCATTGCTCGAAATGTATTAACCAAACGATGTTCGATTTCCAGACTCTGCAATTTTGTAAATGATATATTTGAGTGTTTTGCAAACTGTTCAAATAATAATTACCAGTGAATTCTTTTTATGATTTTTTAAATCAGACGTACAATCTAATATTTTGAAAATTGAAAAATGCAGCGATGGTTTTATACATTTAAAAGTGATAAAGTAGATTTTTTATGTCGAAACTTTAGTATATTTCTTTAGTTTTTATTCATGATATATATTATAGAACAAGAATAAAGAATAGCATTTGATAAACAAATAAAATATTTAATGTATTAAGTATAAATATTTTTGTGACAAATAATAACTTTAACAATAGTTAACTTCATAAACTTAATCATACTAGAGAAAAAACTCTAGCGGGAAAAAACGCCGGCTCAAAATTTATTTTTAATCTGTGGTTTCTTCTGCAAAATTTTGCGAAAAAAAACACAAAACGAGATCGTTTGGTCCTTACGATTATATAGACTATCATGCACTTACATTAGAAGAGTTGGAAAATTGGCAGAAAAGTTTAAGAAGTGCCTAAATATTAGGGCATTAGCTCTAGTTGGAGCAGAAAGATACTGGAGAATATCAAAGAAGATCACATTGATCATCAAGGATGATTGATAAAAAAAAGTCTACAAGTGACGCAAATAAAACTCACTATCGATCAATAGTTTGAAAAAAAAGTTTCTTGAAATGAACCACAGTACGAGATGATGTGGTCCACATGATTAGTTAGACTAAGTTATACCACCATACACTTATATAAGAGCAGTATGAAAATTGATAGTAAAGTCTGAAAAGTGCCTGAATATTAGGTCATATGATGAATTGGAACAGCCAGTACACTGGATCGATGCTAATAGTCTGGAAAATGGTAAAAACACTGGAGAATCATAAAAATAATTATATTAATTGACAAGGTAGCTAATAAAAGAGTTTTGCAAGTTGCAGAGGAAAAAACTTTTTGATCACAAACTTTAAAAAAAAAAAAAGTGATTTTTACGTTATCAAATATGAAATATATCAACTAAAAGGACTTGGACGGGTAAATATTTTGGTTTTGCTTGGTCTTTAGAACTATAAAAGCAAAAATTTGAATTGGTAGTGGTAGGTTGCGAAAATAGTAGTAATAATAATAGTGTTTGCGCAATAATAATAATAATAGTATAGGTTGTAAATGAAAAATAAAAATATTTGTTTTTACTAAAATCAGAATTATGACATCTTATTGACAAATTAGCAAGTTTGCCCAATTCATAATTCAATACATCTAAATAGAAACCTATGCAATAAAATATGCGTTTATGAAGGCCAAACACAACGCATATGCAATTATGTCTGCTTGTATCATTCAAGAATTGAAATAATCAAATTTCACTTCGTTAGATTCCAGTTATAATTGCGTTTCATTTCGCGACCACACTAAATATTCTTCAAGTATATAGGACAATTTTGCAACATTCAGTAGTAAGAGTGCCAATTATCCTTTGCCCACTTTCCTTCTCCCGCGGACATCTTAATTTTTGTGGCATTTGACATTTAGTCGGTCTTGCAACACCTTTCAAAAAACATTAAGCCCCGTGGAGTTATTTTTCTTGAAACGAAATCGGCTACCGATTAAAATGCGAGTAAAAACACAGAGGATTCACGAATATTGCTCCGAGCTATGAAATGCATGCTCGCCCGTGTTATTACGCAGAGCACAGCCGTAAAGATTTATTTTGGACTGTCATGCCAGGGATTTTGATACTTTTTAATTTTCTTATTCATATTGAGATATTCATTTTTTACTGCGTCTTTGTTTCTCTCATAATACTTGTAATAAGTGTTGCTAAGATCTTACTCGAAGACCCTTGAAAAATTTCTTAGCCTGTTGATGCTATCAAGTCAAAAATAGAACTGTTAGGAATGTAATTATTATTGCAGATAATATTAACTTAATTATTAAAATGAAAATTAATTATAAAAAAAATTCAGCATTAAATTATATTTAATATTATTTTGATTGTCTTTCATTATCATAAATTTTACTCTGGTCTGCGCACTGAAGTTTAGCTATAAAATGTGAATGCACAATCAACCAGTAACTAAATTATGAACTTTACTATGGATCTTTCTAAAATTATGAACAATATTGACTTATATTCAATCTTATTATACACTGCTTTACAAAAAAAGCTTTTTGGCTAACATTTGTAAGTGAATTTCGCGAAAAAAATATTTTTCTTCTTCAATACAAAACATTGGCAAAGGAAAAATATTTTTCTTCTTAAATACAGAACATGGGTAAAGAAACTATTGTGGTTTCCTGGCTAAATCATAGTAAAATTTCAAAAAAATGAAACATGAAAATTTCCTGATATTTTTAAAATTAACACTTTATGATCAGTTTGAATCGACCGATTTGAATTGTTTAAAAAATATTCGATTCCTAATAATGGGGAAACGTGTTGATTAGTTTTTGGCTAAGGCAGGTCCAACCATTTCGAAGATATGCGGTGAAAAGTGCCAAACATAGTAACTCAGTTTGTGAGAAAATTCAAAAACTTTTTTTTCTATTGACAAAATTAAGAACTGATCAAATTTTTGGGAAGTTAAACCATATGCCATTTGACGATCAAAAATAATCAATGCACATCAAATTATTATAAATTTATAGAGATTTCAAAAATAAAAAATTTACTGATATTTTTGAAATTAACATCTTATGATCAGTTTGAATCGACCGATTT